TCTGTAACGCTGTATCAACTCTGTACCGCCGTATCAACTCTGTACCGCCATATCAACTTTGTACCGCCGTATCAACTCTGTACCGCCGTATCAACTCTGTAACGCTGTACCGCCGTATCAACTCTGTACCGCCGTATCAACTTTGTACCGTTGTATACACGCTAAAACGCTGTGTTAACTCTGTAACGCTGTATCAACTCTGTACCGCCATATCAACACTGTATCGCCGTATCAACTTTGTACCGCCGTATCAACTCTGTACCGCCGTATCAACTCTGTAACGCTGTATCACCACTGTACCTCCATATAAACTCTGTATCGCTGTATCAACTCTGTATCGCTGTATCAACTCTGTACCGCCGTATCAACTCTGTAACGCTGTATCACCGCTGTACCGCCATATCAACACGGTATCGCCGTATCAATTTTTTACCGCCGTATCAACTCTGTACCGCCGTATCAACTCTGTACCGCTGTATCACCGCTGTACCTCCATATCAACTCTGTATCGCTGTAACTTCTCTGTACCGCCGTATCAACTCTGTAACGCTGTATCACCACTGTACCGCCATATCAACACTGTATCGCCGTATCAATTTTGTACCGCCATATCAACTTTGTACCGCCGTATCAACTCTGTACTGCCGTATCAACTCTGTAACGCTGTATCACGCTGTACCGCCGTATTAACTCTGTACCGCCGTATCAACTCTGTAACGCTGTATCACCGCTGTATCGCCATATCAACACTGTATCGCCGTATCAACTTTGTACCGCCGTATCAACTCTGTACCGCCTTATCAACTCTGTAACGCTGTATCACCGCTGTACCTCCATATCAACTCTGTATCGCTGTATCAACTCTGTACCGCCGTATCAACTCTGTAACGCTGTATCACCACTGTACCGCCATATCAACTTTGTACCGCCGTATCAACTCTGTACCGCCATATCAACTTTGTACCGCCGTATCAACTCTGTACTGCCGTATCAATTCTGTAACGCTGTATCACGCTGTACCGCCGTATTAACTCTGTACCGCCGTATCAACTCTGTAACGCTGTATCACCGCTGTACCGCTATATTAACCCTGTACCGCCTTATCAACTCTGTACCGTGTATCTATCTCTGCTGGCCTCTCCTCTTCGTCCCGGACTTGTACTTGATTTCCTGCTTTGGATCGACTTTACACTGAACTCACTGGACCGGATTCAGTTTTGAATCGTGACTTCCTACCTAACTTGAGAAGTTCTGAAACGAAGTGAAGGGCCTCTACGCCTTCGCTCTTTATTTGGGATCCCCGACGGCCTCTAGAAACCGACGGAACGTCACCCTTTTCTGAGTGACCGTATCCAACGTAATTGGCTTGAGAAATGTTCGCAACAGATCTTTCTTGAGGCGTCGCCGCACTGCCACTCGTCACGGACTGGCCTATGTAATTTGTGTCACACAATTAACCCCATCAGCGCCACTACCACATTACTAACAATACAATAATTAATTTCATTTTCTTATTAAAGTGTTACAACCTTGTTCTAGATTTCTGCTGCGTTCTTACTATCACGATAAGATAACTGCGCAGTGTTTTCCAGCTATACAGTTCAGTTTTTTTCTACGCTAAGGGAAAGAAATCTGAATTCAAACCTCTGCTGTCTTGCAGGTAAATCTAAACATGGAAAAGGATTCAGGATTGAACCTTGGGAAAAATTCTGAAGCCGATGACCCATAGGCAACTTGCTGCACTCAGTGCTACAATCTTAAATATCGTTCCGACCATAGCTAGCGCCAAGGTCTTCTTGTCAATCTTTACTATTGAAGTAGGCCATAAATCTCTAGTTTTTTTTTTCCTTTAACAAAAAGCACTTATAAACATAATTTGTCAAAAGGGGAAACCACAAAAAAAAACTTAAATTATACTTATATAAATCCAGTATAATATTTTGTTTCAACAGAACAAACTAGTGCACATCAATGTAAAGTTTTCCTTTAAGACCTCGAGATCTATAGGGCAGATAATGATAAATTCATCTGTTTCTTTGACTAATGGTTAACGAACAGGGTGTCATGTGGTCATCACAATCGCCTTTACTTTCATCAACTTAATTCAAATACCCATTAGAGTTGGGTGGTCTCAAGGCGCCCTGAAAAATCCCGAAATTCAAAATCCCGTTTTCAGCGAGATTCGAACCCAGGAACCCATGTTAAGAAGCCAAGCGCTTAACCACTCAGCCACAAAGCCCCCGCATATCTACTTGCTACTTTAAGTCCCCCTGTACCTTCTGATTATCTTGTGGTCCTAAACAACTAATGGCTCCACTTCATCTCTTTTTACTAACTTTCCACTAGCCGTAAATGTCACATTCTTGATGCTGGGTAAGACTACTACCAGACTGCCTGAGTCCATCTCCTTTGGCTTCCAGCCTGTGAATCAAGGTTACCAGTGGACACTGGACAAGATGTCACAGTACATTGACCCCTGTGATGTAGTGCTAAACGGGAGTCAGTATGTCCATGGTAAGTAGATAATGTCTAGGTCAGAATGTGTGTCATGTGTGCTCTTAAGTGTGTGCGCATGTCTTGAAAACTTTTCGTTGTTTCAAATGAACTCCAACATAGAAGAGGTTGCTTGTCAATGTGTTATGTGCCAATAAGCCCATTGACTCCGTCTTCAGCCTGCTTTTCTTTCTGGGTGTGCTACCATTGCCTTTGATCAGCCAAAATCATCTGCAAGGCAGCAATTGTTTCATTTCGGAGTTGTCTCTCCTAGATGAATTACTAATATTGTTGTCTGCTAGTAGTGTTCCAATTGTTACAATTGTTTCGTTCTTTTTTTATTGTCTCCTTTTTCAATTTTGTAGAAAAGAAAAGTCTAAAGTCCTAACATTGTCCCAAAAAAAAAATGAACAACAATATTTATCTTCTTTCATTGCATCGGGTGACTTGAAATCAACGTCTTTTTCTGAGTGTATATAAATATATATATATAGTGTTTTTCTTTTTGTGACAAACGCACAAGTACGGCGTACCGGCACCTTTTTGAATGTGGGGAAAAATTATTACTTTCTTGTATTTTAACGTAAATTATTAATTTATTGGTAGTTCAAAGTCAGGCAATTAATCGTTGAGTACCAGCACCAAATCACTGAGTACCGGCACCTATTTTGTTATTTATATATATTATATATATATATTAAAATAAGGCTTCTCTTCGAGTCCGAAGATCAATGAAGAATGCTGCGCAGCCCTGAGACCTACATATTTTTCCACAACCAGGGCAAGCATAGCCATTATCCGCAGGTGGTGGAATTAGATTTTCTTTTCGCCGTCTGCGTCTGTCCTCAGCAGCGGATTTTCTTTTGGTCTCAAATGTGTATCCCGCGGCCTTTGTGAGTGAGCTCCAGTAGATAGATAAATATGCTAAAAGGAGCCAATTGTTTTGAATGGGCGTGCGTGTTTCTTATGCAACCAGGATTAAAATTATGGCAGATAATGTATTTGTAGTGACTGGATAGGGTTAGGGATAGAGTCAGCATTGAAGTTCTAAGCTGGTAAGAAAGTTACTTTAAGTTTTGTTTTAAAAAAGAAATGGTATTCAAGCTCGGTATTTAGAAATTAATATGCTTTCAATGGTTTAGTTGGACTAGCTTTTACCAACTTGGGACAGTGTCATCTATTTGAAACCAAGCACCTAGATTCTAATTTGATTTTAATATATGGGTTTCATACTTTCCGTCAAAAAAATGAAAATTAAGGCCTAGCATAGACCTGAAGGACATCGGAAAATGGCAGTGGGCAGTTTTCGAACTCGGGACCACATTGACAACAGTTCAGAGCGAATACAACACGACCAGCCATTTCCTACGATGCACACAAAAACACACAAAATACTTTACTTTCATAAGCCTATTCTATTAAATCTATAGATTCTGAAGTCCATTGAAGAGCGGGTCTACACAATCCTGATGCAGTACCAGCTGCGATGGGCAGGACACGTCTGCCAAATGGAAGACCGCTGCATCCCTAAACGACTCTTGTACGGGCAATTAAGGCAAGGAAAGCGCTCACAGGGTGTACAAAGAAAACACTTCAGGGACACCCAATAAGCTTTTCTGAAGGCGTTCAGCATTGACTCAGCCACCTGGGAGACAGAGGCACATGACAGAGCATCATGGCCTCCGCTGTGAAAACTGGCGAACAGGTTGCTGAGGAAAAGAAAACAACGCTGGCAGAAGAAAAGCAAGGCCAATGACACTACCTCCAGCTGGAATAACCTGCCCAGTGTGCAACCGAACATTCCGGGCTCACATAGGTCTCACCAGCCACATGAGGAGGCACAAAAACCCCAGTGCAAAGCCCTCAGCCTCCTGGATGACAAAGTGGTCATCATTGAACCACGATGGACGAACTATATGTATATATATATATGGGGAAAAGTAAAGACGGTTGGTTGTTGTGATGGCCACATGACATCCTTGTTAACCGTGGCCCACAGAAACAGATGGCCTTTACATTATCTTCCCTATAGATCGCAAGATCTGAAAGTGGAGCTTTACTTTTATACTTAATGTATTACAAGATTCAATGTAGTTAAATCCCAGTGAGTTTATTCCTATCCCTTTTGATACACATGTACTCCTCTGCATTATATCTCCAACAGGTGTCAAGAATGAAGTGAACTTGTTAAATGAAGACAACAAGGGCATACAGTTCTTCACCAGAGACGTGCCGATAGTCAATCTAGGGACAGACAATCGCATTGACTCCCCTTTCCCTGTCCCGCTTGAGCCATTTGAGTGCTCTACCCTGAGAAATTTCTCCTTTAATATCTACAACAACATCTGGAACACCAATTACCCGATGTGGTATCCATTTAACCAACAGGATGAGAACTTTAAAGCAGAGTTTACCATCTCGTTCATTAGTTAGAATTGGGAGCATTAATTGGTATAAGTTTAAGGGGAAGCATTTATTAATACAAATTCTATACTTTAGCCACTTAAAGGAGCATTTATTAATACAAGTTTTAGACTTAGGGAGCATTTATTGATACAAGTTTTAGACTTAGGGAGCATTTATTAATAAAAGTACACATCGTAGAGTAAAGAAAAGTTTAATACTATCATTGTCCAACTTTATGCTTCACTCAGTATATTATAAACTTTTAAAACTTGTATGTGATAAATATACAGTAGAACCAATACAAGTGTTGGCAAAATAAACTAAAAGCCTAATATTTTAATGAACTCAATGAATTATATCATCGCTTAGATCTAGATCTATGTAAGTCTATTTTGGTCAGCAATATTACTTATTACTAAGTATCATCGATTAGATCTAGATCTATGTAAGTCTATTTTGGTCAGCAATATTACTTATTACTAAGTGTCATCGATTAGATCTAGATCTATGTAAGTCTATTTTGGTCAGCAATATTACTTATTACTAACTAAGTATCCAAGAAGAGGCAGACAGAAAAAGCGATGGGAGGACAACATTAAAGAGTGAACGGGCCTGCCATTGGGAGAGGTTCTAAACAAGGCACAAAAAAAAGGGAGGAATGGAGAATAACGGTTGACAAATCTTGCCTGGTGCCCCAACAGACTAAGGGATAGGTAAAGGTAAATCCAAATAAAAAATGTCAATATTGCTTTTTATACACATGTATTAATTCTTATATCTTAGCCTATGCATTTAGAAATAATTTTTTAAAAGAATACCCGAAAATAACCGAATTTGTCAATTTTAAAAAATCTCTCTTTCATTTTCTAACTTTTAAAAAATAAATTCCATTATATTGCTATCACATTTCTATTAACGCAAAGTAATTTGTATTTTGTAGTTGGCAACTGATCATTCCTTACGACGCCCTTGACATTGTATATTTTTGTCTATTTACTTCAAAATCTCTTCCTCTTCTCTTTTCCTTCAACTTCCATTATATCGCCAACACATTTCTTCTTATTGTTTTAGCTCTTTTATATATCTCTCTTAACTTCATTGCTAAAAATCGTAAATAGGATTTTTAAGTTAAAATCAAAAGTGTAAACAAAGAGCAAATAACTATAATTGACATTTTTTTTAGAAAATCTCCCTAAATAGAAAATTAACTTTGTTTCTGAACATAAGGATCCATATTAAACAAATATTATTACACTTTTCATCGTAGTAAATTAAGAAAATCGTAATTAAAACCGTTTAGAGAAGTGGAAAGTGCAATATATATATATATATATATTGATGTATTTCTTAATTTACGCATTTTAAAAGAAATTGCGTTTGAGTTTTTATCTATATCTCTTGTTGAATGCGCAATAAACAAAGAAATTCCCGCATTGATTGGCGCTCATGACGATGCTTATTAACGAAGTCACGGTTGCATGAAGTCTGTTGTATTTCCTGCCTGGAAAGAACTCTGGAACTAAAGCTTCTGCCAGGGCAAACACGCAGACGAACAGGAGAGTGATCGCTGTCAATGCAGTGATCAGCGTAACAGCCTTAATGAGTACCAACTCTTTACAGCTCAAAACATTCGAGTGTAAATTGTCCGCGCGCTTTACTTGTTCGTTTTGTGAGCATAAATTTTTTCATATTTTTTAGCTTTAATTTTCTTTTACATTGGTGTCAGAAAAATTCTTTGCGATGATCATCGAACTGCGCTTCCTAGATGCGACTACTAAAGCGTATGTCAGTATGATCGTGAAGAGGAAAGTGACCAACAAGAAGATGACAGACAGCACAGTCCTGCAAATAATTTTCTCCAGGTACATGAAGAATGGATAGTCGTTGGAGAACCGAATAGTGAGCCTCGTGGCGTTGGTCAGCGGACTAGTTTGCCAGCTAAGTCCGTGGCTTGTCACGAGTGGAATACGAAACACTGTGTTGATTATAAAGGCGTCGACAACAATAAAGACAGTCCGTCTGGTGGTGAAGACATTCTTAAACGTGAAAGGCATTGTGACACAGCAACACCAAGTAGGTGTGAGCGCAGGTGGAGGTGTCTACGAAGATGTACTGATAGCAAATCAGCCAATCGCCAAGGGACAGCATGGTGACAGGTAGGTTCTGTTGCCATGGAGATAGAGCCACGACTAGACAAACGTTAATGACTGCGTTGCATAAGGTGTGGCAAAGGTCCGAGAGGGACACTGCCAAGAACGAAATGTTCATAACATCTTTAAATCCGAGCTGGATGAAGATGACAGTATTTAAAATATTGACCATAGTACCATAATAAGGGAAGTAATACTTTGTTTGATAGAATCATAACCATATCAAGTTGATCTTGGGAAAGATCCTGAAAGGAATCCCTCATTTCTAAAACTATTCAAACTTTAATTGTACCAATAACATGTAGTCTTACTAGAATCTTCTGGGCCAAAAAAAAATGCAACATCGTACAATTATAAATGCCTACAACAATATTTTTTCTAAATTATGCAAAAAAAGCATGGGTCACAATTTAAGTTAAAGTTAAGTTCCCCTTTTAGACCTTGTGATCTATAGGGCAGATGATGTAAAGGTCATCTGTTTCTGTGACTTAGGTTTAACTAGGGTGTCATGTCGCCATCACAACGACCAGCCGCCTTTACTTTTTCCCAACTAACCTCAGGTACCCTTTAGAGCTGGGTGGACTCAGAGGCACCCAAAGATCCCGAAATTGAAAATCCAGTCTTCACCAGGGAAGCCCGGTTTAGAAGCCAAGCGCTTTACCGCTCAGCCACCGCGCCTCCTTTGTCCCAATTTAGATGCTATTAAAAAGGAACTAGATTTAGTCCCATGTAAAACATTTATAAGAGCTTTTCGAAAAGGGTAAGTATAGACGATATATATCTCTATACCTACATTCTTCAACCAGTAGAAAACGATTATGTAGGTCTATATAAGGGTTAAACATTGTCGACTTCTAATGTATGTGTATATATAGACTGTAGTAATGCTAGAACTTTACAAATAAAGCTTTAGCAAGCAAAGGATTCGTCTGCATCAGATGTTGATGTTTGTTTTAGAGGTTGATGTTCGTATCAGATGTTGATGTTCGTATTAGAGGTTGATGTTCGTGTCAAGGTGCAATGCTCTACTCTCTTCTTCAGACTCATAAGCGACAGTCGAATTGTTTGTAATGTTTTATGCTATAGTCGAATTGTTTGTAATGTTTTATGCTATAGATTAAGTAATTTCTTAGATGAACCTGAGAAAAATATACAATTTATTCATTTTGTTTTTGACCTGTAGATCACTGGTAGCTGTCATTAAAGAGCCTAAATAGTTTAAATACAGCTTTAACTGTTCACTAAACACATCTTTTATGTGCATACAATAGAGATTAGAAAAACCAAGAAAGTTGTGATTTTGTATATCTATTACTGAAAATAAATACCCAACAGACAGTAGGTGCGATTACTTATTTATGACATTTCTAATTTAAATTGACACTAAGCGAAGGACGAGACTAGCTTTGATCATTTATACACCACCCCTAAAAATTAAGCATAAGATTAGTGCGTCCTGTGATATTACCAGACCCTCTCTTATAGATTACAGACGTCACTTGAACAAAGAAGATAATTACGTCCTACGCATTTCGTGTGTCAATCTAGTCATGGGAGTTAATCAATGACTTAAACTCTGCCAAGACGAGTAGGAGAAAACTCCCCTTGAAAAGTTAACTACTTTCAGATTAAAAGAACATTTAGTATGATCAATAGCTATTTCCCACGGCTTGCACCTCATACGACATAATAATAATGTTTAGTTTAGTTACAATGTTCTTTGTAAGAACAATGAAACGGAAGTACTTGGCCTAATACTATAATATTTAAATTTCCTCACAATATCCATTAAATGGACTATTCAAGTTGTAACTTTACAAAATATTTGAAGTTATTCGGGATTTTTAAGGTGAAGGTCACAAATGAAACATCTATATTTAACCATAGTTATTAAACCAAAACATCAATACGGTAATTCAGATGTAGATTTGCATAAAATATCAATTCTTACTAATGTATGAAAGTTTTCTGCTTGGAAGGGAATTGAACTGTTTTTATGTTACAAGGTAAATTAAAATATTGAAATGGGGCCACACTGAAAACTAGTACTCCAGCTGTTAATTATTTTAATTTTTGTTGTTATTTATGCATTTTGATAATTATTAGGAAAAAATCAAACACTGAGAAGTAACTGAATGTGGTAGAGTTCACCATTTAATAAAGTTTTAAACATTACAAATACTTATTTGGCTTCAATAAATAGCACATTACTTTTGTTTGGCCTCAACAAATTGCACATTACATTTGTTTGACCTGAATAAAAAACTCATTACTTTTATTTGGCTTCAATAAATAGCACATTACTTTTGTTTGGCCTCAATAAATAGCACATTACTTTTGTTTGGCCTCAATAAATAGCACATTACTTTTGTTTGGCCTCAATAAATAATATTACTTTTGTATCCTAGAGATTTTTAAATAAACAAACATGGATGTGAAAAATATACAACTTGTTACATTTATAATCACGTAAACTTAGTAGAAAATATTTCAATATTTCAACATGGTAATAGCTATTAAAAATTTATTAAATCCTTTTCCCTTAATAAGGTGTGATAAGAAACTTAACAATGTGTCCATAACAAACAAATTATACATCAAAATCATGACATGAATAAAACATTTTGCAAAATAAATGAAATGTCAAAAAGAAATTTCATTTAATGTCCAGATTTCAAAGGCTTCACAATGTGGTGCATTCAAACAAGCTCCAGGTGTTTTCATGCGCTTCTTTTTCTTTCAATCAAAGTCTTTTCAACAGACTCTGTCAGGTTTTGTTGTTAAATTTTCTATTGATTTCATTGTAACAACTTAATTTACCTTTTTTTTTCTCTAAATATTTTTAAAAAATTAATAAAGTTTAACTTTCCATTCATTTTTCTATGGCATCCAGCGAACTCATTCCATCCAGCACATTCATTTAACTGTAAACATGTTTGCCAACATCTTTAACTTCTCTATTCTTTAAAACTTTAAACAGAAATCTTCAAATATTAAATTATCACAGTTATTAAAAAAATTTATTTTAAAAAATCCTAACAATAAAAACTGTACAATGTCAGTTAATATTCTATGATACTGTAATCAATGGAACGTATATTTGATACCCAAAAGGGTATAACAATTCTCTAATCTCATAAATATCAATGTACTGACTCACACTAACTTACAATGCTGATAGGGAGATACATTAAACAATATACATTATCACAAACAATTTAGAAGCGGAATCAACTTGATTTCAGTTCTGACATATAAGTAACAAAAGAAGAGATATAGTGAACAGTTTGCTCAATCCTTAGTATACACAATATACAAATATATTTTAAAAATTAAAAGAAAAATAATATTGTATATAAATTGTAC